TGAGGTAAAATAATAAGCTAACATTTATATAGCACTTGAAGGTTTGCAAAACATTTTACACAAATTATTTAATTTGATCCTTAAAACAAACTGTGAGGTAGGTGATATAGTTACATCATATTAGGTTACATTATGTTATTGTTTTATATTCCCGTTTTTCAGACTGAGGAAACTGAGGTTGAGAGAGGTTAAGTGATTTGCCCATGCTCAGCCAACACTTAGCCAGTTAGTAAGTGGCTGAGTCAGGATTCATACTCAGCTTTGTCCTCACTCTACCCAAGCTGCCTCTGAAAGAGAGGGCAGCTACGACTTGTGAAGGACGTTGGATACCAAGTAAAAGAATAGAAATTTTACCCCATAGGCAATGGGGAGCCACTGCACATTTTTGAATAGAAGAGTGACATAACCAAATTCCTGTCAAAACATTTAAGAGACATACCTTTGGTTTAGTGTCTGTACTAATATCACTAACTTTAATCGTGAATGCTGATGTTTTTAAAATGTGATCATTATGGACTTAGAATAAGTATGTACAGTGGATGAAATGAAGAATAATACATACAAAGGTCCTGCCTCTAAGAAGTTTGCAATGTAGTAAGAGAGAGAAGATATAAATGCATGAAAATATAGTAGTATAATATTCATAAGGCATGACATGATTAAGTGTAGTCTGTTGCAGATAAATTGTTATTTTTTTTTCAAAAAAGTTTTATTAGTACACTTATTTTTCAAGTTAGAGTTTCCTAGTTTTAGTCCTCCCCCACAAACATACCCATGCAATAGATCCATCCCTCATAACTAAGAAATAGTTCAACAAAACCAAGATAACACAGTCATCCTGTTTCATAGTATATGCAACATTCTCCACCCACATTTCCCACTTTGTTGTTGAAAGGACAAAAGTTGTCTTTCATTGTCTGGCTTCTGATGTCAAGATTGGTCTTTGTATTTAATCTGAGTTCAGTTACCTGTTGTACATCATTTACATTATTGTATAGTCATACTGATCTCCTGGTTCTCTTTGCTCTGTGTCAGTTTGTAAAATTCTTCCCACATTTCTCTGAATTCTTCATATTTTTTGTTTCTTAGGGCCCAGTAGAACCCTATTTAATTAATAAACCACAGGTACTTTCCTAGTTGATAGGAATTCACTTTTCAATTTTGTTTTCACCTTTATTGCTACTCTCTCCCTCCAAATGACAAAAGTAAAGAATATGTTTCTAGTCATTTAGAAAGATAACCTAATTAGGGGCTGCTTGGTAGTGTAATGGATAGAGCCACCAGCCCTGGAGTCAGGAGGGCCTGAGTTGAAATATGACTTCAGACACTAGCTGTGTGACCTGGAGCAAGTCATTTACCGCTGATTGCCTCCAAAGAAGAAGAAGAAAGATTCCTAGTTATGGCTCTGCAGAAGGAAGGAAATTGGCATCTATTCCTAACGCCACAAATATCTGGAACATGTGCTGGTGGCTTTTATAAATTAGAATACAAGTAGAAAGATGATTTCAGTGGTGGAGGGGAAGATCCTCTAATCCCTAATGTATTTAGTTTCCACTGAGGTCTTTTCGATATCCTCTCTCTTTTCCTGTCTTCTCTTTCTTAATTCTCACTCCTCTCTTCTTTGCTGTCTATCAGTCTTTTGAGCTAAAGAACTGAGAATTGTATGCAGTTTTTATTTAGTCCAGTGAACACAGTTAATCTTTTCCAACCAGAAACCATTATAAACTTAGTGACTGACCTTGAAATAACTGAGAATCTTTTCAAAAAGCGTTTTGCTAGGACTCATAAAGTTGGTTCAATTACCTTATAAATAGAGGCTTCTCTATTTCTCTAAAGACAGGTCTTAAATCAGGAACACAGAAAAAGGTCAATCAGTGTAACTAATGTGACTTCTCAAAAGCAGTAACAGATATTTATAAAACAGTGGATACCTATTTAATAAATAATCATTATAGTAATAATATGCTTGTAATGTTTATTTCAATTATAGCTATTATTTGCAATGATTTATGTGTGAAAACTTGGGCCAAAAGGCTGAGCACAATAGTAAATTCCATATTGTACACGCAGAGCCTGTGTTTGCGCATTAAGTCACAACTTAACCTCTCTGGTCCTTGGTTTCTTCAGTGATAAAAGGAGTGGATTGAACTAGATGGCCTCTGAACTCCCTTCTGTGTCTTAAGTCAGTGATGTTGTTGGTGATCAATTAATGGCTTTATAAATTATGATCAGTTAATGGCTTTGTAAATGCTCTCTTGCTGCTCATATTACCTTATTTTTACTTGTCTGTGTACATGTTATATTTTCTAGTGGAATATACGTTATTTGAAAGCAGAAGTTATCATTTTTCCTATATTTATCTCTAGTATGCATCATACTGGCTTGTACCTACTAAGTAGAAGCTGAGTAAATATTTGTTGAATTAATTTGAATTAACAGATTATTATTGAGTACTTAACTGTGTACAAGGCATCAGTTATGCTGTGATCCACTGAGAGGTGAGCAAGACAGGTAATTATAAATATTAAAGCCCTTGCCTTCAGGCAGCTTATAAACTAGTTAGGGACATGAAACACAAGCAAAAACTTAAAATGACAACATGATCTCACAAATAAGACAGGACAATAATTACAATCCAAAAAAGTAACCTAGAAAGTAAGTACTAGAAGAGCTTGGAAGTGGTAAGGATCACCATGGGCTAGACAGAAAACAGGAAATAGGCTCTATGTAAATCAAATCGTGAACAATGGCTTGTTTTGGTAAGTGCAGAGGAGAGGAAAGGCATTTCTGGTGGAGAACAACTTGAGTCCAGAGTGAAAGTACCAGATGTGTTCAGGGATCAGGGAGGAAAGCAATTTGGTTGAAGCATAATACTTAGAAAGGTGAGTGAGTAGTTGGTAATCACATTCTTGAGAAGAGCTTTGGTTTTCAAGTCTCAGTTATTGTGTGACCAAGTCATTTTACCCTTGAAGACTCAAGTACCTCATATGTTGTGAAATATGGGGATTGAACAAGATGATCTCTAAGGTGCTTTCCAACTCTAATGGCCTATTCTATTGAGGCTGAAAGAAGAAATCTCTTACTGGGGGTACATCTTATCCCTTCAAATTAGATAAAATCTGTAAAGTGCTTAGAACTAGGTAGCACTTAATAAATGTTTATGGATTGGTTGATTCATTCCTTGTCCACATTTGGTGCAACAAAATATACGACATCTATATTGCCTCAGTGGCTTATGCCAGAATGTTTTGGGTTTTTTGTTTTGTTTTGTTTTGTTTTGTTTTGTTTTCAGTTGTAGCAGTTGAACATTTGCCATGGAAACCCAGTGCTTTAGTTTGCAGACAAATGTCAGTTAATGTGAACAAGGAGTCTGAATAGACACAAAAATTCCCAAGTTTTAAAATCGCTTATATTCAAGACAAGATAAGGAAATCATGCAAGTTTTAGGGGTTTAAGGATGTATCAAAACTTCTGAGTGTGATTTTCTTAGACATCTTTACTCTATTCATGCTCACTAATTGAAATACAGAAAGCGAGCAAGAGAAGGGTCTTTCAGAATCATATGTGATTCCCTGCCTCAGAATAGTTGGGTAACCCCCAAACAAGTTACTTCATCTCTCTCAGCTTCAGTTTTTTCATCTGTAAAATGGGAACAATAATACTTGTAGTTCTTACCTCACAGGGTTGTTGTGAGTAGTAAATGAGGTAATATATGTGCAGTGCTTTGCAAATCTTGATGCACTGTACACAGTAAATTTTAATGATGATGATGATGATATTGATATACATAGGGTCATTGTACCCTATGTATAGGTCTTTCTTATGAAGCCATCCTGAAGCTTTGTAGGTCTCATTGGTGTAGGTTATATGACCTTTGTGCCATAGTATTCAGATTGGTGACTGGCCTCATTAACAAGTGTATCCTTTGAAGTGAGAAGAAATTAGTAATTTTGGCCTTCAAGAAAGTTGTTACTGATTTTAGTAGATGTAGAATCCCAGAACAATAACACCTGCTAATAACTCAATTTGGTCACACATTTGGGTCTACGAAGTACTTTCCTCATGTGTTGTAGGTGGGTAGTGCATGTTTCACTACTTCTATTTTACAGACAAGGAAGCTGAAATTGAAGTACTTTGCATGGAGTCACCCAGTTTGTAAGGGCTAGAGCTGAGACATAATACTACATAGATTATCTTGTAGCCTCATTAAATCTTTGTGATTTAGGTACTACAAGCCCTACTTGTAGGCATGAGGGGCATGAGGAAACTGAGGCTGAGAAAGGTTAAGTGACTAGCTTTTGGTCTAACAACTAACAGAATTCAAACTCACATCCTCCAGGCTATGTGGTATGTTATATGCCATGGTGCTGTTTTAGTTCTAGGTCTCCATCCATCCATATTAGCTGACATTTACTTATGGTGCTTTACAGTTTATAAAGTGTTTTATGTATACATCTTATTTGGTCTTTATATTAATATGAGATATAAATATCATAATCCCCCCTGAACAGAAGAGAAAATTGAGGCATTGGTAGATTAAGTGATTTAACCAAGGTCATAAAATGAGGATGTGAACCCCCATGTCTTCTGATTGTAAATGAGCCTGTTCTCTTTCCACTACATTGTACTGCCTCTGTCAGAGCAGGAAGCAATCCTCAACCTTATGTAATCTAAGGCCTTTCTTCATTTCACAAGAAAATTGGGGCTCAGAAAGGGAAAGAAACTGGTACCTGCAGGGACCACCATTCTATGAAGAAGCCATATACAGAGTATTGCTTCATAGCAGATAGATAGAAGATAATTTTCTTATGTTACCATGTTGAATGATAGTTGTTAAAGTCAAGAAAGAATGAGACGTTTGTTCAGGAATGTAAAGTTTCGTGAGGTGGCCAAGCTGCAGTGCCTAACAGAGGAATTTACGGTAGATGTCACAGAGGGAGATTTCCCCCTTCTGTGACACTAACCAAGAGCCATATTCTTCTGCCTCTCCCCATCCACAGCAGAAATTCTGGAATTGGCTGGGAATGCAGCAAGAGACAACAAGAAGGGAAGAGTCACTCCTCGACACATCCTTCTGGCTGTAGCCAATGATGAGGAATTAAACCAGGTAGGAACACAAACCTGGGTGTACCTCAGGTAGATTTTGGGTAGTTAACCACTTTTAAGGAAGTTCTTTCATTCAGTCAAACATTCCAGCAAATAGTCCAATTTTTTTATCATCCTCTCCCTCCTCGCAAGCTCTTCCAGTCTGCAAGTTCTGAAGGATGGGATCAGCATCAAGGGTCACTGCTTTGATTTCTCTTTCATTTACCTGCAACTTCATGGCCTCCAGACCAGGGCTAATTTTCAGTTATTGAACCCACAGTTTTAGTAGATTGTGTTTAAGAGATGTTCTGGTTCAAAAACTTACTACCTGTAGTCTGAGTGGTGTGGGCTATATTTTGACTTACAAAACCACAAATTAACATTATCTATGTTTTATTTTAATTTTTTAAAAATTTGCCAATTATATTTTAATCTGGTTCTGTGCACTTGGAAGGGGCCAGGAGTTTATACTTCCGCTGTGGTTACCTTACTAATAATAAGCCTCTCTGGACTTCACTGGTCTGGTCGTTAGGCACCAGGTGTATACGGTTTATCAGGTGGCTCTCACTCAAATCCTCTGGCATAGTCTTGGAGAACTCCACATCACCACCATTCCACAATCAGATATTAAAGTAGGATTCAAGCATAGGATTCTGAAGGAAGAAATTCACAGAATGAATGATCATTTTTCCTAGTGAGACATAAGACAAAAGTTTTATGCTATACCAGGCAATTCATGTGTCATACTAATTTTAGATAGGTCTTTTCTTTTGACTATACAGAAGGGAAGGGGGGAGGCTCTGGAGCATTGCTGGGTTGCAGGTAGCTCACACCTGCTCACAAGAGCCCATTGTTAAGTTTTCAGTGTGAGCAATTTGTACCTCAAAAATTGGCCAGTGCTACAAAATCAGGGCTTGACTATTGTTTTGTTTTTTGTCTAAACTTAAGAAAGTAATGGGAAAAGTGTTAATAATGCAGATTAATCTTAAAAATGTGTCATGTATACAATTTTTTTGAGAGCTGGTTGTTAAACATTTACCAGCATTCTTCTGATGGTGGAATGAAATAAAGTATATGCAGTTTGAGGGAGGAAAAGTACTATGTAAATGCAGAGACACTAAAGTAGATGAAAAAAAATCACTCATTTTCAGTACTTACTTTCATTTAGTCCTTAGAATCTCAGAATTGGAAGGAATGTAAGAGATCGTGAAGTACAACCTCCTATCCATGTAGGAATACATGATGTAGCTTTCCTGATGGAGTGGTCCATTGGGGAAAGAACCCTTTTTTTTTTTTAATTCAAAAACTTGTCTTCTTGTCCCAGCTCAGTCATGGGGTCTTTCCTTTTTCTGGGCAACGGTTTCAGACGATCCTTGAGGTCCCTGCCGTTCTGACCGTCTTTGGTTCTAGGTGATCAGCTTCAGTATGAAAAAGTTGTCATTCTGCAGGCCTGGGAACATTGATTTATAATGTGCCACTCTGATTTGCCGGCAGCTATTAAAGGGAGTCACCATCGCCAGTGGGGGTGTTTTACCAAATATCCACCCAGAATTGCTAGCAAAGAAGAGAGGATCCAAAGGCAAACTGGAAGCCATCATTACTCCTCCTCCAGCCAAAAAGGCCAAATCTCCATCGCAGAAGAAACCTGTGTCAAAGAAAGCAGGGGGCAAGAAAGGACCCAGGAAATCTAAGGTATGCTGCTTTGCCATACCACCAGGGGAGACCTGAGGCTTATAACCTCATTCAAGCAAGTATGCATTTATTAGGCCCTTTCTGTGTGCAAGGCACTGGGGAAGCAACAACAAAGTGCCACTTAAACGCTGTGTATATCCTCCAGGATGAGGGTGTCTCTTTTGAACTTTGGATGAAGTAAATTTAAGTCCTGCTTTGTACAATGACTAATTACTTACGGAAATTGTTACCACCAACAGCTGTTACCAGAGGCAGGAAGTAAAAATGGATTTAAGGAGTTGGACATATTTGTGACCAACAAAACTATTTGTGTCTCCTAAAAAGCCCATCATCTATCTAACCTTCATGGGGTGTGTCATGTAGGATAGCTAACCCCTTTATATCTTGTCCCTTGGTGTCATGTTGGGTACAAAATAATGGGTCAGGTAGCCTATGAGGCAACTAAGTGGAGCAGTTCTTATGCCCCCATATATACTTCTGCCTATGGCTGTGGCTGTTCATGAATTTTCCTTCAAGCGATCTACATTCCTCAAAAATTAAATGTCCAACATATAAGAGAGCATGCTGGTTGATTACTCAAGGGGGAAAATTTACTTTCAAAGGTATATGTTGGCCCCTTGAAAAATAACTTTTCCCCAGTTGTCACTACTCATTGCAGTGACTTTATATCTCCCAGTGAATGGGAGCATTCCCAAATGTCCCAGATGTTTTCTTCATTGGAATGTTATTACTCCAGCGTCAATGAGAAAAACACAAGTGCTGCCCAGACATTTAGTGCCATGTATTCCTGCTCAGAGAATGGGATAGGAGCCTAATGGTTACTGGGGGGTGGGGTAGGTGGGTGATTCTTTGCTCTTATGAGCAAACTGTTCTGCTCTATCTTCTAAAATACTGATTACATTTACTCTTTTTTAATTTTATTTTTAATTTATGGAATAAAACAAGCAAATTGAAATGATTTGTCTTTCTCTTAGTGGGAGAGTAGGTGAGCATGAAAAAGTTTCTACAGATCTGAATTTTGGTTATCAGACTACTTGTAGAATTGTATTTTCTGTGGGGAAGTAGATCAAGCTGTCTCCTCATGAAACATGATGATATGCTTGTTTTTGACCTGCCCGGAGAGGAGCAGCTGAAAATGGACTATAAGCATATTTGTCTTGTTTTCTACAGATCTGTGACTTCCATTTTAAATCAAGAGGCCTCATGAGTAAAGGTGAAACTTTTCCCTTTGCCTCATCAGATGCATTTTTAAATAAGATGGGCACCACAACACTTGAGCTGAAGGAGCACTTAAGAGGCATTCATTGTAGTCTCCTATCTCCTCTTTGGCCAATGAAAACAGCCCAGGACATCCTGCTGGCTATTATGTTTTGAAAAATCTGTTCTCCCAACTCCTTGGTAACACATTCTTTCTAAAAAGTGCTTTATTGATGTCTTTTTTTTTTTTAATAGTCCTTCTAATAAGGAAGCAACTAAGCAAAACTTACCACAGAGCAATTTGACAGTGCATGCTGTATTCTGCTTCCTTTACCTTCTCTCTATGTGACAGGAGAGAACTGTGTTCATAGGATCATCATTCATCCTTCATAGATTTAGAGCTGAAGAGGATCTTGCAGGCCATTTTGTCCCACCCACCCCCTCATTTTACAGATGTGGAGCTGAGGCCCAGAAAAGTTAAATGACTTACCCATGGTTATACAGTAAGTAGAAGAACCTGGGCCCAAAACTCGGTCCTCTTGCCTCATGTACCACATTGTCTCCAAGTAGATGAATATAACTAGTGGAGCATAGGACCTGGATCTGGGACTTCGTTGGTACAGGAACTCGGAGGGGAGAAAAGCTTTTTTTGATTCAGCTTGGGACCTCTTGCAATTTATAGTCTTGGAAAATTGCCTAGGACACTGAGAGCAAATGGCTTGTACTCAGCCAATTATGTGTCAAAGATGGGATTTGAACATTGAATTCCTAACTTACTGACCAGCTCTCTATTTACTACAATATCTTTCCTTATACTACTAGAAAGTATTTAAAAATATAAAAGTAATGCTATTTCAGAGTTCCCTAAATGGACAAATCTTAATTTACATTTCATGGAGAGCATACATGGTTCTTCATACAAACTCAGAACATCAGAGCTGGAGGGGATCTTAGAATCACAGAAGGTGAATGAAAGAATTAGAAGGGCTGCTTCTGCTTCCTAGGACGATAATTGGCAACCTATTGTAGTTTCTACCAATAAGGAAGGTCTTTCTAATTCCGTCTAGAATGGGGTCCTTTGGAAGCCTGGACAATAATAGAAGGGGAATGATCAAGTTAAATGAGCTTCCATCCATTCCTACAGCATACCAATTAAAGACTTTTTCTTAGAAAAAAGTGTACCACCTCCTGGATGTCTCTGATAAGCACAGCCTGGTTTTACCTGGGGTGTGACAAAATCTTTGGTCTGTGTCTCCCTATTCAACCATAGGGTCACAGAACTGGGGCAGGAAAGGGTCCTTAAAGGTCAGCTGCTCCAACCCTCCTCATTTTACAAAATGAGGAGAGTGCAGCCTTGGGAGTTTATTAAATAACTTGCCCAGTGGGAGTGTGTTAACAGCAGGACTTGAACTGATTTTTTGGTAACTCTGAGGCCAGCTTGCAATCAACTACCTCAAGCTGCCTGTTTTGTGGTGGTGTTGTTACTGGTTTTGGAGTGGGGGCTGTTGAGGTGGAGTTGGTTCCCTGTTGAAAGAAGACATTCATCTTTAACTTAGAGTTTTAGAGAGTTGCTGAGGACACTGAGAGGTTAAGTGACTTGAACCACAAACAGCTTGTGTGTGTGTGTGTGTGTGTGTGTGTGTGTGTGTGTGTGTGTGTGTATCTCACCTCCTCTGCTGGAGGTATGCCAGAGCCCCACTCCATTCTAACCCTTGCACCCATTATCTTGGTAGGGGACCATCTGCCCTGACATTATTCTCCAAGGTCCTTGGGGCCTTGCCATCTGCCCTGCTACTTCTCCTGCCCGATTACTTACTGACTTTTCTATCTTCCATGTACTTAACACGAAAATGAACTCCCCTTTATTTGTTGTCTCTCTCAGCTAGAATGTGAACTCCTTGAGACCAGGTGTCTGTTTGTATTGCTAGTGCTTAGCCCCTAGTAAGCCCTTAACAAGTGCTTTTCCAGTCTGTTCCATATATGCCAGAGGCAGAACTTGAACCAGCCCCTTTCCAATTCTTAAGACTGGCTCACTAACCACTGCACCAGCTTGCCTCTCTTTTGTCTGCCATAGAGTCTGTTTCCCTTAGAGTTTGTTAATGTCTCTTTGAGTGGAGTCAAAATAAACTTGGAGAAATTTCTTCCATGCAAAGCTAATTTCTTTCAGGGCAATGAGGTACTTCCCATAAAACAACAGTTCAAAAAACCTTTCCCAGACCACCTGAGAATTGCCCCAAGCCTTTTGAAAGGGAAACGCAATATTGAATAACTCACTAGAAGTTATTTCCAGACTTGAATTCCACTTCCCTCAGAAGTCCCGTAGGTGGTTCAGGGCTACTCAGGGATTCCTTGGAACGTTCCATACTTGTTCTTGCAAAGTATAAAATTAGCAAGATTGAACGGTTTCTTCTTCTCTTCTCATATGTGCGGTTGAGATGATTTTTTTTTTTTAAAGTTAGGTGGATCCATTCTGAAGCTTATGAGAAGAATACAGATCCACTCTTTGTCTAAGAGATTTGCCAGCTCTGGCCACCCACTGAACAGCATCCCATCAGCATAGGGGCTGTGGTTGAGCGACTGGTCTGAGTCGCTCTACAGAACAATTTCATTTTTTGTATTCATAGCTTCACTGCTGCATGTTTAGTCCAGAATGGACTCTCTTAAATTCCTGAATCCTGGAGAAAGCCTGCCTGAGTTGCTAAACAAAGTCTCTGGCTCTTTGTTGTGTTTTCAGAATCCAGCCCTTGGTCATTCCCAGTCCCTCTCCCTTGACCTCCAGGTGTTTTAAAAAATTTATTTATTTTTTCCCACTGCCTCTCTAAACTTCCAGACCTTCCAAATCCAGGCATGTTTTCTTTTTGGACTAGGATAGAGGAGAAAGGAAGGTGGTGGGGAACATTTCTTGGTGGAGCTATATTTAGAGCTCAGAATTTCTAATAACCACACACGAATGATCACTCCAAAACTCCACTTTTTCCTTGATTACAAAAGCAGGAAGTCTGTAATGGTGGTCTGTTTTTCTTCCACACAATAAAGCACATTGTCTGCTTACTGTACCAGTATTTGGCTAACGTTAAACCCTGAGGGGAATTGAAATTGGACCTGTGAACAGCTAATTTTCCAAACATTTGTTTAATGTGAATTGTGGTGTCAGCTCCCAGAAATCAGTGGAAAGCTCTGCTTCTCCACTCTTCCTGTTCCTAAAATACCTTGTCAAAGGATACTTGGAATGCCTCCTAACATTCCCAGACATTTGAAGAGAAAGGGCATTGCTCCTTATCAAGTGTCAAACCTCGAGTACCAACGCACCATATTCTTTTTCAATTCCATGTCATTTAAATTTTTTTTAAACTCCTTCCAAGTCTTAACAGCTGAACCTGTTATAATGGACTCTTATAAGCAGATACTGAAATTTTTCATCTGTACATGGGTAATGCATTTTAATCTGGTTAGTTTCAAGCACTTCATTTTTATAATTGTCTTTGAATTTAAGCATCATTGTATGTGTGTGCATGTGTGTGTGTGTATGAGAACACAAGTAGATCTGGGAAGAACTGGGAAGGTCTGTGTTCAAAATCTGCCTCTGAAACCTGGGTGACTGACCAACCAGTAAGTCATTTAACTTCAATAGTAGTCTAGGGCAATTCTCTAGTATTTTAAGTTGCAGGGATGGTGCCACCTGCATTGAAAGGAGTTCTCTTATCCAGGAATTATTTATCTCAATGAAATCACAGATCTAATCCATATCTATATGGGGACATAAATTGTATATATAAACTTTATATGCATATAAAGTTAAGGAAAGGAAATTACAGATAAATAAGGATAAACTTAAGGACAAATAACATTTAGATTATTCATGAGGAATTGATAATCTACTAATGTGAAAAGGTTTTTTAGCCAGAAATTAGGGTAAAGATAATTTTCATTCAGAATCTTTCCCTTTACCCAGTATAAAAAAAATCAGACATTTGTACCAGTTCTCTCTTATCTTAGACTGGTCAAGACCCTGGGTGATCTTGGTATAGTCACTCTTTTTGGGAAGTGTAAATATTCTAGCCATAAATTTAAGGATGCATGTTTAGGTGAGGATGACATGAAAGTGAAATGGCTATTTGGAAAAGCTGCTGCTCTTTCAGTACTTTTGCTGCCCCTTCGGTGAAGTTTTTTACACAGGAGTCAGACTCTTCCCACGTGAGTGACAACTGGGGTTGTGCCATCCAACAGAGGGAATCAAGAAGAGGGATACTGTTGCTCCTTAAGCATGCAAATCTAACCATAGGTCAGCTAAACATTTGGAAAGTTGAAACAAAATCTGGAATGAGTTTCAAAATCGCTTAGATTTCTTTATAGGATCATAGAACTAGAGTTGGAAGGAAAAAAGGAAGAAAATAGGGAAAGAAATATTTATTAAACACCTACTGTGTGCTAAGGCTGTACAAATATTTAAGTTTAATTTAATTATTTAGTCATTTAATACTCACAATAATCCTGGTAAGGTAGGTGCTATTATTACCCACATTTTACAGTTGAAGAAACCAAGGCACACTGAAGCCAGATTTTGAACTCCAGGCCCAGGGCTCTAACGGACCTTAGAGCTGGCCTAGTCCAATCTCTTTATTCTGAAGCCCAGAGAGCTTTAAGTGTTCAAGGAATGAGTAGCAGGGTTTGGATTCAGACTTAGTTCCTTTGACTCCAAGGTCAAAATTTCCTTACCACTGCATCACTGTCTCACTCTTTTAGGTGATTGCCAGGCCTGTGAAGGAAGGAGCTGACCCTTTTAGAATCTACGGTGTTATCCCCTTTTTTGCATAGTAGACAGAAAAATTGATTTGGAGTTTGGAGACATGGGTTTAAATCCTGACTCTACTACCTGTGTGACATTGGGCAAAGTTGATCTTTGAAATCCTTTCCAGCACTAAGTTCTAGGAGCCTAAGTATTTAACCACTAGGCCTCAGTTTTCTCAGGGGATTAGACTAGATTATCTCTGAGTTCCCTTCTAGCCTTAAGTTCTACAGTCATATTTTCTGATAATAATATTCACTGCCATCCATTCTGGACTCAAATGCCACCAGCCTGTTCATTCAACTCCCAGCTAAATGCTAAGCAGAGTATAAAAGAAGCAAAAAATAACCCAAGAAGCCATTTCTGTTTCATTAAAATTCACATGAGACACATGACATCCACTTTGTACATATTAAAGGCAACCATCTTGGATGCTGTTCTCAAACCCCTCATGAACTAGTCCTCTTAAGGGGAACTGTGTCCCAGTGGAGCCCTTAAAGGAGCAGACGAATAACCTATGGAGTGATTCATTCTTACCTAGATTGTTGACTGTCAGACATTTAGAGGTCCAGGGACCATTCTTTTGGGACAAAAGACCCCACATCACCCTGCTTTACCTGTTTTTGCTGAGCACTATTAAAACATCCCAACTAGAATTCGTGGAACAGGAGCACTGCTTCAGGTGAGACACCGATGAGGGAGATCATAGGCAAATCGTTGATTTTGGCCCCAAACAGAAGTATAGATGTTGCCATAAAATAAGGCAAACCAGATTATTTCTGGGTTGCCAGGAAAACCTGTGGGTACACACCCAACTTTTACTAAGCCTGAAATTTCACCAGATTCGTTTGTCTAGCTCAAGATTTGTGAAAATGCAAATACCAAGGAGAGGTATCCTCTAAGTTATCAGTCAGTTACACCTCTATGTGAATGAATTTATCACATACTTTCCTAAGAGTGGATTTTGATAAGAGGGAGGAAGAAAAGAGTAGGATTAAGGGCATGGGGCATCCAACAGAGACAGGGAGGAGCACTGTCCTTGGTCCATCCTTTGAGAATCACTGGTGGTATATCATGGGCATAGTGGGAATAATACTGGATTTAAAATCACAAAATCCAGGTTCTAATTCCAGCTGTGCCAATTTTTTGCCTGTGTGATACCTAGCCTCGATTTCTTTCTCTGCAAAATGAGGGGTGTTGAACTATATAAACCTTAAGGTTCTGCTCAGCTCTAAATATAAACCCTATGATTGGATGTTTTACATTGTTCTCTTGATTTTGCAGTGAAGTGCTACATGCCAGCCTCAGCAGACAAATATTCAGTTAAGTGAGAACCTCCTCATATGCAGATTTAAACTAATCAACTCTATTTATGCAAGAAGAAGCAGGGAGAAGTCAGCAAAGCAGCCAGTGCAGATAGCACGACAGAGGGCACCCCTGCTGATGGATTCACCGTCCTCTCCACCAAAAGCCTCTTCCTCGGCCAGAAGGTATGCAAGCACTTTTCAGAATTGAATGAGCTACTGGACAGACCTTCAAGATTTTCGCACACACACACACACACACACACACACACACAATATCCTCCACTGTGAAGGATGGGGACTTTTGGAGTTGTGATCTGGTCCTGTTTCAGGGACTTTGGGGGCCTAAGACACCACCATGATTGAGGAAAGGGAGGTTGGACCCCAGAGGAACTACAGGTGTCAGATCTGTTGGGAAAACATTGAGGGAAGCCGGAAGACTTGGAAATATTGGTGGGAGTGGTGAAAAAGAATGTTAAGGGAACTGAGGTGCTGTGGAGATGAGGAAAAGTGTGGGCATTTCACATATAAGGGATTGAGAAGCTGATATGTATATAACATGGTCAGCAGATCATATAAGCTTCCTCCTACAGGTGGAACTCTGTCCAAAAGGTAGACTGTGAGTTTAGCCAGAAGCAAAGAGAATCTTTGGCAGAAAGCAAGTGAACAGATGGTGGGTCACTTAACCATATCTGGAAGAATATCACTTTCATTTTCCAATACAGTGGTCTTTCTGACCTAAATGGTGGTTGGTTCTTATAGAATATGTATACGAGGGTAGTTTTCACTTACTGACATATCAATTTATAAAAAGCCTTATTGTTTGTTTTTTAATCTTGTACAATGTGTTTTCAGTTGCTCTGGTGTTGCAACTTTGCAAAAGATGCCACAATTTGTAAAAGATAATTTATTTTTATTGCAAATGAAAATGATACCAAGAGCTTTTAAGCCTTGAAAACATAACACTGCCTAAAAAATATCATGAATAAAAAAGAATTAGATATTATATTCAGATCATTTCCTTTTTTGAAAATTTAAATGGTACAATTTAAGGGTTGAATTGACCTTTTTTAAAAAACAAAGATATTCTATTTCGGCATGGCATCATTTGTTAACTCTCAATTATGAGGTTATTTTTGCATCATAAGTGATTCAGTCTGTTTTATCACACCACTGAGATTTCTCCTTTGAATCCTTTGTTTTTTTCCTAAAACCAGGTTGTACTTAGTTTCTTATTGTAGTTTTATGCTAATTTAGTGTTGTAAAACATAACCAGAACAGCTTCTGTTTTGCAAATGCTATCTGTGTTTTTAGTACTTTTTTTTTTGTAAAAACAGCACAAATTTGTTATTTTAACGTGTGGGGGTTTGGAATTTTTACTTAACATTTTTTATTCACTTTATGTTTTAATTGCACAAAGTAAGAAAGTCAACTGATTGGGTATAGTTTTATATCCTTTTACTTGTTCTTTGGGCAATAGATCCCAGATTAATGTGACTCATCATACAAATTACCTTGATTGGAATGAGGGGTGAAAAGTGCTGCGATTTGGGCCCTGCCCCCCTCCCCTTAGCTTGTACTAAGTTCCTTGGCCCAGATGGAATTTCCAAGACCTGGTAACCTGTTCAGTACATGAAGACATAGCGCCCTTAGTGTTCCACCCCCTCCCCACCCTCCTCCCCAGTCCCCTTTCCCTGCTCTCTGGCAGCTTGTCCCTACAGCCTCTTCTGCTTGCTCCCATCTTTGCTACTTACTTATAGCTAACTCCCATTCCTGCTTTGTGTCAGAATTCCTCACCCTGCCTTGATGAATAGGGGAAAAAAATGCTTCCCAAATAGCTAAATAGAAATTCTTTATATGTGTGAATGGTAAGGAGAAACTCTCCCTTTCCCCAACTCTTTTATATTTTGTAAAGAAACTGCAACTCTGGCTTGCCTATCTTCTTCCTAGTCTTTTGTAAGCTCCTTGGATGAAGGGACTAGGGGGTCTTCAAATTTGCTTAAGTACAGTGCTTTATACTTATAGTGAACTCAACCCAGTCCCCCCCCCCCTTTTTTTTCCCTGAGTACAGTATGTCGGCTTCAGTGCACATAAAAGAAACAGGAGTTTCTTCTCCCATGTAAATGGATTTATTATTCATACATTCAAAAGTGTGCTGAAGATTAGGATGGAAAGAGGTGGGACTTGTACACGAGTCATTTAAATTTGCTCTTCTCATTTATGTTTCATTTCCAGGCTCCATAGAAATGTCTTTGCTTTGAGAAAAGGATTTTTTAAACAGGGAAAACTAGTTAATGCCAACTGCACAACAGTGTTCAGGAGCAGCCAGACAAAGTACACGGCAAGCCTGTAACTTGTGCTGTTACCGTTTAAACTGCTTGCAGACATTTAATCCAGTATTATTTAGGAAAGGGGGAAAATTTGAGGAGCCTTGTTAGAGTACAGCAATGAAATCAATACCTCTGTTTGGCTATTTAATCCTTGGCAAGAAAGTCCCTAAAACAACACTGTTCTTTTAATATGTATTTCAATTAAGAATTTTGGACACTTTAGGAGACATGCAGGTAAAGTTAAGTGCCAGTACTCCATACAACAGAACTCTTCCTCTGTTCAAATTTGGAATCTGTAGACCATGAGAGGCATCAGGTTGTAGTGCTACAAGGCCAGTTATCAAAGTAATGAAGATATGGGTTCAACTTCTGCCTTTGGCACATCTTGGCTGTGGGATCCTAGACAAGGCATTTAATTTCTCAATGCTCTAGGCAACTTTTTAAGACTTCTTAAGTTGTAGGACAATTATTACATTGCATTGGTGAAGGACGTTTACATTCTAGGAATTCAGTACACTGCTGAAATCAGTTTCACACAAACAAATAAATAATGCAACGCTGAGACTGAATTTTTGTAACTTAACTATTGAGCCTCTTAGCAAGTATTTTGTTCAACACTTAGAGGATGTTAGAAAATTTTCCTCTAGCATTTTAAAGTTGTGTACAATTATTGAGTTCTGCTCCCAGAGTTTTCATAGAATGAATTGTATTTAGACCAACTTCAAATAACAACTTCAAAACAAAGGCTAGTCAACACAGGGAAAAAAAGTTTATCGCTTGTTTCTACATATATTAAACATAGGAACTAAAGATACATAAAAGCAACAAGAGAGACCTCCCTTAATACAACCTTTTTATAAAGAGTTCACTGTTAGATTTGTATGAATAATAACACATTTATGTGATGCATTAAACTTCACGAAGCACTTTGTTCACAATCCTGTATTACTATCCCCATTTTGCAGATGAAGATTCTGATACTCTGAGCAGTTAAATGACTTAAGCTTACACTGACAGCAAATGTCAGAGCCAGGTTTTGAATCTAAGAATTTCTGACTCCACATCTAGTTCTCGTTTCACTAAATTGTACTGCCTTTGTGATTCAAATCATGCCTCCCTTACCCACTGCCTAAATATAACTCCGTAAAGCAAAACAATATATAACATAGTTCATTGTTAGTATGACTGTTCTCTACCCTGATGCTAATATTATGAAAGGGTGCTGTTGTTCCTGAAATCAAAAAGGCCGTCATTCTCACACCTTGAGGTGCAAAGAATTTTACATTTAACAAAATATAACAATTAGACAAACAAATGATACCATATATTCTGAACCATAAAACAGAGATAATTTTCATTGTACCTCAAAACCCCATTAACAATGTCCAACTTTCAGATTCAGTTTACCTTTTAATTGAGGCAATTTAATTTGGCCATTTTAACCTACAGGCTAATTCTGGTTTTAAGAAAGATTTCAGAAGTCTCACATCAGTACAGTTTCTATACAGTAGTCTTCTGTACTGCTCAAGTCATATTTTTCAAGGATGTGTCATGATTTCCCATCTGTGAAGATGAAAACTGGTGCTTCCTGCACATGGCAAGAGGGTTGGGCTGGAAGATGCTGTTTGGTTGCTACAATTCTCTATGTTGGTTGCTAAGCTACTTACATGAAAAAGCAAATGAGTTTTGGGGACTAGAAGTTAGTTGTTCTTGTTAATGATGGTGCATTTGACCCGTATCAGTCCCTGAAATAATTGCTTTAATTATGCTTTAAGTTTTTAACAAATGCATATAAATATTGCATTGTGAAACTGTTGTGAAAATGAAGGCAATGTGTGATATCGAACTAATTATATGCCTTTGTTTTGTCATTTCTGATGCAATTGCTGCTTAAAAGACGGCGTCCCTTTGCAGAGCTTTTAAAACTTGATACTTCATCTCCAGAGAGCATCCAACACAGATTTCCATAAATCACTGTCAAATGATAGCAAATTTAATTTAATAATTTTCTTTATAGAGTTAATACTTTTTCAGAACAGCCTAGGAAGTGATGAGTCATTTCTTACAAATCTTCCAGGTGGTCACGGAGCAGCCTTAGGACCCTCAACTCCTCGGCTTTCTCTTGTAGTTCTAGACTTTTTTAAATTCCAGATTATGGAAAGACTCATATGTTCCCTTCCTGAAACTGTGGCTATTTCATTTGTTGTGTTTGAAAATTTCCCTGAACCAACTCAGAAAACAGACAAGGCAGCTTCAGGGAACTTTGGTTGTTGTGTCCGTACAAAACAAAGTAAAAACTTCCTATGAAGGAGATGCCAGTTGAAACCCACAGAATTGCCTCAGCTCTTCCATCATCAACATTGTGAAGGCATGGTGGCCATTGGATGTTTCATGATATGCCAGTAGGCCTACTTATAAGAAACTCAGAAAAGTAAGAGTGATTAACCTTCTCCCCAACATGGACACACATTCAGGAAGCCACTCCTTTACTAAGATGAACAAACGCTGCAGTAAAGTTCTATTTCCCATAATGGATCGAAAAACAGAGACAACAGGATTGGATTTTTCCTTTGGGGTTGGTGGAAAATGTTCTGCTCTGTGTGAGTAATGTCAGAAGATAACACTAATTTCACCTAAATTCCCCTTTAGAGAATTAATATAAACTAGCACCCAGCCAACAGTACAGAAGAGGATTATCAAAATCTTCCAAATCTTTTTTGTTGATCATTCACCTTACTTTCATAAAATCTGCAATTTATATCCAAAGGGTATTAAGAAAAAATAAAACTTCGCTATATATTGCAACCACATCTACATATAGTATATAGTAGCTTCAAATTTCAATGCTTGTATGTCACTGATACCATCTCTTCAGCTCAGTTAACAAGCTAATTCAAAGTCTGTTCCAAATAGGCCTGGTCGTTGTTTCTAAGTAAGACCATGTGGCTCTGAATGAACAGAAAACTTGTTGAGGCAGTTTTCTGTCACTGTAATGGATAGATCAGAATATTCAAAATGACTCACTCTATTTTCTACATTGAAGGAAGAGAGACTAATAAAATATCATTTCATTTCACCATTTATGTCTACAGATGTTCTAGCATTCATTTCAACTAATGTTTTATTTCATGGTCTGCCACCCAGCCCTGTGCTAAATGCTATGGGGAGTACAGCTGAAGCATTAAGATATGGTCCCTCCCCCTCAAGGAGCTTACATTCTAGTTGGGGTTTTCTTTCTCTCTCTCTCTCTCTCTTTCTCTCTCTCTTTTACACACACGCATACACACACACACGCACTCTCCCAACTAGAGACCAATATAAAAGAATATCAATCTAGCGCTCAGTTGACTATAATCTAAGGTCAGAAATACAGAGTGAAGACAAATGGCCATGAGGTGGTGAGGAACAAGGTCAATGTCATTTAGAACCAATCAAAATTAAAACCATGGACTCCTTGTGCAGGCAACAACTTTGAGAAGTCATCCATGGTGTCCTTCAGGCATGACTTTACTTAAGTCCTGATTGACCTATGAGAAACCATCTTATTTTTTATAAACACACCAACATTTTTATGTCACTTTTTCCAGTGCCTCACAATCTTATTGGCAAGAAATTATTCTTCATGTTTAGCCTAAATTTCCCCATGTGGTAGTTTTAAACTGCCTTGTAGACCTGTTCTCTTCTACATATCTTTCATGGGGAGTCCATTGTTGCCCATTCAGGTTCTTACTAGGGTAATCAGAGGGTGGCCTTACATTTTTCCATCTTTAGTTCTCTTATTTCTGCCTCCTACATTTGCATTTTTATGAAGGGCTGACTAATTCATGGCTGGTCTGTTATGTGCTATGGCATTGAGATCTCCTTGGCCATACCTGCTCATGCCCAGCCCACTGCCTTTGTTTCTGTGCACTGTTTGTTCTTCCTTGGGTGTATCACTTGTCTCCGCTGAATTTCATTTTTTTCTACACAATGTGCCAGTTAATCAAGGTACCTGCACCTCTTTTCATCTACTTCTTTCCTCCCTCCTACCCCTCAAAAAAAGAACAAAGAAAAAAAGCTTTATTTTAAGGTATCTGCTCTTTAGTCTATCATCTAAGTACATTAGATAAACCTTTCTCAGGTATAATCCGTAGTGAGGAGTAATGGCTGTTCTCTGGTGTCCTGTCTCTGCATGACACCCACATTTGGCCAGTTAAAGACAGACATCTCCACTCTCCAGCTGTAAATTGTCTGTGGAGCCTCATGGCTTCAGTTTGCAATTGCTGTCCTTTTACCAGGCTAGGATATAAGATTCTGCCCACATTATACTCCATATTCTCAGCAGAGAATCCAATTGCACTAAATGTAGGCAGAGTCAGTCTCCCTAGGACAAAGCCAGCTCAAGGCTGCAGGGTATTTTATAGCTCGGTTGAACTGGATCCTACATAAATAACCAGCTTTCCTATGAGGCATTTCTGAACACAAAACCAGAACAGTTTATATAACTGGAAAAAAGTGTGAATTTCTAAGGATTTAAGCATGTATGGTTTTAAACACATACAAAAATGCAGTAATGTGATAGATATAGTAAAAAGTGCACTCATCCATACCATGCCAAATGAAGTATTTCTTTCCCTTTTCCTTTCTCCCCTCTTTTCTTCCCTTTCCCCAACCTTGAAACAGTGTTTCTTTGGTATTGGCTTAATTTGAGTTTTGTTGTGTTTTTTTTCAAACAGCATTTGCATGTTGTCAGATTGCAAGACTCAAATGATATCATTTGGAAACAACCAATCCTTGTTCACAATTGTGCATGTGTTAAGGCACAGTAACCATTAAATTGCCTCCACATTTCCTACCCAATTGGTAGACCCATAGTTAACAAGTGTTAATCTTGACTTTCTTTAATGCCATTTATTCCTATGCACAGGAAGAATCCTTCGGATGAATGAATGAATGAATGAATGAATGAGAATCATCCCAAACTAGTGTTTGTTTGTTTTTTTCCCCAAAAGCCAGGACTGTGGACAGCTGAAGTCCCAGGTTGCAGTTCTTTATTCAAGAGCCACCCCTCTCTCCCCCCAGTCACCACACATGAGTTCCAAGAAACACATCTGAGGATCTCAATTCAAGGCCATTTGGAAAAGTATCTTAAACCACTAAATGTTCAAACTGAAAACTAGTCCACTACCTCTCTAGTTAGTAATTAAAAGTGATTCCCACTGTCAGATGGCTAGACCTGCCATGAGCCTGGGCCTAGAGTTTGTTTCCACTACTGTCTTCCTAAGAAAGGATTACTCTTAGTCTAAACAGGGTCCTGATTTTGAGAATGTGGTGACTGCTTCTGGGAATCATAAATCTAGGTTTATGTTTCTGATGCTTGGAGAGTGTTGGGCTTTTATTTTGTTTTCAATAAAATATTTGGCTCAATTAATTCAGAGGATTGAAGCCTAAGCAGCAGTTGGCCCTATTGCCAGCTTTCACCTCCTCTGATATGATGTTCACTTGTTTTCCCAGAAAACGAGGATAAGACAGCTCTGGCTAGAGTAGGTTTTGGCTGTATTGGGATGGACATATTCCTTACCCGAAATGGATCATCTTCTCCTCTGGGGAGGCCCTACATTTCTTTATGTAAATTGATGCCCACAGTTCTCATCATCACCCTGGCTAGAATCTAACTCAGCATCCTTCTCTGGCATTGTTATTTTTCTTTGACACAAGTTTTGTTCCTGAAATACCAAGCCAAAGAGTTAACATTGCATTTCAAAAAAAAAAAAGTTCCACTTGAACATTCATGTCTAAAAAACAATAAATAGGAAATGTGATACTAACATCCATTGGTCTCTATCTTAATTAATTCCCAGCACCCCACTGGTTGCTGAGTTTACAGTGTAAAATTTCCCCTCATCCTTGGATACTCAAGGTTGCCATGGAAATATGATAAAAGGACGGTCAAGAGCTAGAATATAAAGGAGCTGATTTATTGGGCAAAAATAAACTTGCTAGAGGGAAATACCCTGGAGGAGAATTCAGGACAGTGGTGCCCAAAGACTTTGGCAAATTTTAAGATAACTGCTTCTCGAAGAGGAACTGTTTTTTCCTTCCCCTTGGTTCTCCCTGGAGAAATTCAGTCTGGTGATGAATGGGCAGGTGAAATTAGGTGTTTCTAAGCAACAGACCAGTATAGCTCCTAATTGGCCTTCTGACTGAATCAGAACAGACTTCCTCCTGGATAGATTGAAATAGTACTAAAGATATGTGATAGGTTTGTTTAACATGGTAGTGCCCACCCCATCCCTGAGAAAGCCAGCCTGGTACTGTGAAGCCACTGGGAGGGGACAGGAATTCAATAACATTGTGCTGTCATAAGGAAGAGAGATTTTGAGTCTCATGATAGTGATTTTCCTGGACAGAGGCTCTGGAATGATCAACATTGCCAAAGGCAATGTGTGTATCCAGTACGGTTTAGACTTTGCCCAGACCCCCCATATTAACATCATTAATATGGTATCCCTAAGGCTGGCATCTAAAAAAAACTTCCTTGCAGCATTCTGAGTAGCATTTGAGTCTTGTGTTTGAAATGGATTCATTTTGAGCACTGACCCTCCCCACCTCTGCACCCATCACCAGCCTTGTTTGTGGCCTGTACTTTGTTTTGAGTATTTGTTACTTCCCTCTGTGTTGCAAGGCTCACTTCTCTGCAGCTTTTCTGTGACTTCCCAGCTGTCCTGTTATTTCCCACCTCATGCTTTTCTTTTCAGCTGAACCTTATTCACAGTGAAATCAGTAATTTAGCCGGCTTTGAGGTGGAGGCCATTATCAATCCTACCAATGCTGACATTGACCTTAAAGATGACCTAGGTAATTGGGGGAATGGGTTTGGCACAACCAGCTGTCAGATGGAAAACTATGGAACCCAGAATTTAGCTATTTAACAACTCTTTTTCTGTAAAATAGTTTAACCCAAATTCCCAAATCCTAGGCTGATGTTTGAGCCTGCATATCTGTGTCCAGCTTACACCAACCTTAGCCCAGGTATAAGGGACTCAGTACATATCATTGATTCTGATTGGCATCTTCTCACCTGATTGTAAATACATTTATATCTAAATTCTTTTCCATAATGATCAAACTGACTGTTGGCTTCTGGGGTGGGGGGAGGGGGGATTTTTTTTTAACTGACTGAAATACTCAGGTAACAGCAAAATGAGAGTTTCTCCATTCTCACCTTCATTACAAATTATATTCAGACTAAGCCTGAAAATAATTGAAGAGTAGAAGAGAATAAGATAATGTGGCTACAAATTGTCATGCTGGCTTTAATTAGCAAACATTGATTTTCTCAGCATTTATTATCTACCTTCATTGCATTGTCTTTTATGTTGGAAAACAGTATAATAATAAGTGCCACCTACTTAGAGCACACTGTGGTATCAAAGAGTGGATTTGATTCAACAAATTATATGCAAGACCCTGCTTTAGATATTGGGAATACAGAGAAAAGAAAGAAGAGTGAGTGTCCCTCCACCTCACCCACCTTGCAGGCCAGGAGCTCACAGTATCCTGAGGGATACAACACCTACACAAATGGGTAATAAAAAGTAACTTCAAGTTGGGGGAAGTCAGAAAAGGCCCTCAAAGGAGGGGTCCCTTGACCTGTGCTTTAGAGAAAGTGGACCAAAGTCTAAAGATAAGTCTCTTGATTGGTAAGTTACTTTGTGAAGAGAAAACATCTGTTCCAGAGCTCCACATAACACCATAGATCAGACTAGACATCTATAAGGGAATGTAGATGGGTCTATGCGTATCATCCCCATGCTTATAAACACACCTTAGCCTTCACTGATAGGTGATAGGTTATTAACAACACCTCTGTTCCCCCCGACAACAGCTTGTGGGAGTGAAGATGGCCACCTTCTCCCTCTAGCTTTGTCTGTGGTATTTATAATACGTTGAAAGTCCTCAAAGGAACTCTTTTCTAGTAAATACTAATTTAGGAATTCATTTTATAGTAACAGAGCTAAATACCTATTAGTTTTTGTTTTTTTTCTTACCTCTGCTTTTATAAAGCATCAACTTGGCTTAATGAAAGAATAATTCCATTCTACTGTTCAGGTATTGTTCATAAACATTTTTGCAAAATATGGGAGTAGACAAATCTACAAATGTATACTAAGTCTAACCCCATTTCAAATATTTGTATTTTATATAACTTAGCCAGATATTATTTTCAATGAAAAGACAACCAAAGGGAGGGGAAAAGTGGCACCAATAGAGTATATCTTAAAAAATGCAAAATACATTAAAGCAGAATTGACTTAAATAAGTGGTAGACCTGAAAAATATATTCCACTCCACTGGAGAAGGGGGAAAATTACCAGTTCTCTACACACAAATATACTGTTTTCTCAGTTTAAAAGAGAGGTGCCTTGAAGGTAGACAAGATGATAAATGTCACAAGGATAAAAATTAAGGCCTGTGAGTTTATTGCTGCTGACAAAATGGAGAAACTCGTTATTTTGGTTGGCCTGATGATCCGCAATTAAAAAAAAAACATGCCATATTTTAGTAGCCTTCTCAGTGGGGTGCCAGTTTTATAGGTTTCTGCAAAGTGAAAGGGGTGTTAGCCATTTTAAAAAAAAACTTTGGAAATGATCTCATGTGATTTTTTCAGACCTGTCATTCAAACATTTAATTGAAACATGTCACATTTGATATCCCTCCTCCTCTCACCCCCATCCACACGTGTACACACATCTTGGATTACCGTTTTGGCTCATACTTTGGAATCCACCAGGTAGGTCCACACTTCCATTGGTGCGTTAGTGAATGTACAGCCTATGCATGGGTCTCAATCCAACCCAGTTGATCTACATTTGTTTACCTGTTATAGTTGCAAGTTGTACAGGCTGATATTGCCACGATCGACAGTGATGCTGTCGTTCACCCGACAAACTCTGACTTCTACATCGGTGGTGAAGTAGGTAATGGAAAGCCCAGTGCTGCGGAGTTTGTGTGTGTGCATGGGCCATCAGCCACAAAAGCTTGATCGTTCTGATAGCTATGCAGGGCTGCATTCATCTTGCACTTCCAGCAGTCCTGACTCATGGGGTCTTAAAAATGAAATAACCTTCCTCCAAAGTCCCCTGATCATAGTTCTAAATTGCATTCCCTAGGCTCAATGTAAAAGGCAAAAAGACCAGTGGTGATGGGCCATGCAGCCATCAAATGGATGCTTCTGGTTGAGGAATCTGGCTTTTCCAACACAAGTTCTCCCCTTAAAATTTTGCAAGTGATCCCCACCCATAATTATGACCATCTGGGATCCTGTCACATGGACTCACTCTCTGGCAGAGGCATGCCATTGGGTTGACCACTTTTTTTTAAACCTGAATAAAGCTTTCACAATATCATCATAGTGAATTAGAAGAGAAATTATTAGAAGAGAAAATTAAAATTAGATAATTAGAAGAGAAAATTAAAATTAGATAATTAGAGAAAAACTCAATCATATAATTATTAGTATCATTTTTCTACATGAAACAGTTTGTTTTAATCACAGAATTGACTTACTTTTACTTTCCATCAACCTTTTAAACTATTTTAAAATCATGGAGACACCACAGCCTTAGACTTCACAAGAGCTAAAGGAATCAAAAGAGAATTGATAGTTCAGGGTAATATACAGATATCTCTCAATATGTAGAACGCATATGGGACCAGTATGTTCCTAAAAAATATTCATAGTTTTTTGTGTTTATATCCCCAGTGCCTGGCATAGTACTTGGCATATCATAATAGATAATAAATAAATACTTGTTGGTTGATTGATTACCATTACTATATATTTAGCCTCTCCAAAGACTTTTCAGAACCTTAAATTCTGAAAAGGACTTTCTTATCACTTGCTTATTTAATCAATAAGCAAGTGTTTATTGAGCACTTTCTATATACCAGGTGCTTTTCTAGGTGCTGGAAGAGTTTTCTTTGAGTTGACTGGTTTCAAAGGGTTGGAATAAATGATCTTTAGGATCCTTTCTAACTCTAAATTCTATGATCCTGTAGTTTTGTAAGTGTATTAAATTGCCTTACAGTGAGGGATACCTGTACAGAAATATTCATACATCATATCATGTAGAAATACTAGGTTGTAGGCTCAAAGATAGCACCCATAATGTAAAAAATGAATGTTACCAAATAACTAAATGTCAACTTATATTAAAGGTGGCTAAAGATGACAAGACCTTCAGAACTATTTAACACTGTCCCCAAAATGGCTATAATCCAGCAGTCTATAGCAGTCCTGTTTTGTTCACTATTACTGAAGAAAACATAGTATTTGTAGAGTGTCTACATAGATCATTGTTCCATTGTGTAATTCAAGTTAGTTAATCCCATAGATTCTGGTTTCTAATGCAGCATCTAGGAAGAAAATATTAAGCCGAGTCTGGATAAGCTGAGGGTATCATGCCAAAATTAAGTCCTAACAACTAAAATAAACTGAAATCCAAGTATCAAAAGGCAGAGCCTGAGAGACAGGAGCTTCACTCCTTACTTGACCAAATGGAAATGTGATGAGCAGGAAAAGGTCATTTTATGAATAACAAAACAATTTAATAGTAAATTTTACAAAATTGAGAGCTGTGTACGCAATCCATAGTAACTAACCTGTCTCTTTTAACCTGTACTGAAAGACAAGGCCTCTAGACACGATACCTATTGGACCTGGAAGGCCACCTTCTGAATTACCAGTTGCTCTGAGCCCTCCTTTGAACTCTAGTCTTTTGATTCAAAAGCTGAAGGGACCCATTGAAAATGAGATTGTTCAACTTCTCTCCAGACAAGGACAATTCCAAACAATCCTAAGGAAGACAAGAGTTCCCTACATTCTTTTCTGACATCCACCTCACAGTGTGATGTGATACCTCTATGGCCAGATGACACAAAAGCCAAAGGAAACTACGTTAACCCTTAATGGAACTAGTTTTCTTGAATCATTAATTGAAACACTTGCAAAACAATGGTGTCAATGATACCTTACATTCAATAGTTTTGTGTTTTCTCAAGAGTACATGTACCTTCACAAACAATAGTTCAGTCTCACAATTAGACAAATGAGGAAGTAGGCCCAGAGAATTCGAAAGACTTGCTGAAGGTCATATAGTTGGTTGATAATAGAGCCAGGGGTAGAATATACCAGCATGGGGCTGTTTTTAAGAGTGATACCTGGTGAACCAATTTAAACCAGAACTAAACCAGATCTATACTTTATCTCCACCAAAACTGACCTAAATTTACATCTCATTTGGGTCTAGTGTCTGCTTTGAAGTGAGCCTCTTTAAGAGTTGGAGAAACTCCTGCCCGATAATCTAATTTCTCACCATTGATAATAAATTCCCAGGTCCCATGACTGCTGGAAGAAGAAATGAACCTGCACGAATGCTTAGCTTCTGATGATTAACTTTGATCACCTAAAGGTCTTTCTAACAGTGAAATTTGCCACAGGCATAAAGCCTCAAGTCATCTAGGCCAAAATTCTTTCTTAGGCTGTTCTAAGCACTGTAATACTTATTATGCCTGCTTTGTAAGCATGAGATAATGCTCTTATTCTCATGAGAGTAACACATAGTTATGCTTGGGAGAAAATAAGCCAATTGCTTTACCATTAACCCTGATATTAGACTAAAGAAGCAAATGTTCTTTGTTAAGAATTTTAACTATATAGAGGAAAAATGTCTTCATCTTATTAAAAAAAATGCAAATGCATTCATGCATACATAGTTATGTATAGGATCAAAGTGGACCTTGGTTGTGTGTCCTCAATTTTGGGTAGAATTCAGATATCACTAATACTTAAAGAGCAGTTTAATTTTAATTTCCTTTCCAATTAAAAAAAAATAGGGTAATTTGTTAAGTAATTTAATTCATTGAATAGAATATTGATAATAAACCATATCTGCCTAAGAAATAGTTGTAGAAAAGAAGACACTTACTGTAATGCTATTCTTAACATTTTCTAGTCTAGTGTGTTAGTTAATAGATATAGTTAGAGAATTTGAATTTTATTAATTTACTGTAGAATGTTTCTTCTCCCCTCAAATTAAGCTAAAGTGTAAGGTGAAAATAGTACTATGTTATAATAATAATAATAATAATAATAATAGCTCACACTTTTATAGCTTTTTTTAAGCTTTGCAATATATTTTGCATATATTATCTGAAGTGAAAGCAGTGGTACAGTCATTCTGGATGTTAGTGAATGGAGAATCAAGGCTATGATTTGCATCTTTCATCTCCATAGTGGCCTTGCCCCAATTCTCTGGTCATTTCAAGCCTGCACTATGTAAGTGCTTTTTCCTTATTGTCTGCTATTCATTGCTACCTTAGTCAGATGTCACATGTAAATCAGACTTCCTGCCACTTGAGCTTAAGATCAGTGGAGCTCAGAAATCTGTATTGGGTAGTGGCTTTTGCCTCATGACCTCTGCCATCAAAACACCCTATTGCCCCTTCTGAACTTTAGAGTGTAGAGAGAAAGATTTCTCATGAAGAATCTTCAAATGGACACCTCTCTCTGAAAGTCAGCCCAGGACCAGGTTAACATCTTAATGTCTCTGCCTTAAGGAGAGTTGACTGATGTTTGATTATCACCCTTTCAGTGATCACATCAGTGCTTGCAGATTTCCAGAGCAGGACTCTGCTAACATAACTGTAGCGTTAACCCCAAATTCTATTTGTACCGAAGCCATTTGTCTTTTTATTTTTTTCAACCATGCTGGGAGTTTTTCACCCATGCAGGCCACCCATTTTTGGGATGTGAACTCCCATGTGAATAAGGCAGATTTCTTTAAAACATCTAATACTTGTTTTCGTAGCATATATTCAAAGCAAATTTGGGGTAATTCATTCCAGTGCCTCAAAAGCAAATCACCACAAACTTGTGTTATGTATATCATGATTTCTTTTCCCAAGTAAAAGCATAAGTAAGTAGTTTAAAAGGGTGTACTTCAGCCTCGCTTCAGGAAAGTAACTTTAAGATGTGCAAAACAGGAATCAGAGCTTTAAAAAAAAAGCCAAACTCTGTTCATTCAGAAATATTCAGTATTATTTGCCAATCAAAGTCTGTTGTTTTTTGTAGTTGTCTATCAGAACAATGCGATGGACCAGTTCTAAATACTTAACATTAGATTGTACTGTGAGTTTGTATTTCCACTTAGAAAAACATCCCCCAGTAGAAGGTATTGGAACATAAGATCATAGATTAAAGTTGGAAGGGACATCATAAATTGCCCATTTTAATCTTCCTCCCTTCATAGAGTGGAAGAGCCAGGATTTGAACCTAGGACCTCTGGTTCTAAATCCTGTGCTCTTTGCACCACTGTGTTTTCCCAGTTGATTTTTTACCAAACAAGTGAACAGATTTGCTAGTTACTATTTTTATGTTTTGAGCCTGAATTATTAGAAACTCAATAATCATTCCAATCCATCACCAAGCATTTTTCAGGTATCTACTATTTGTACAGAAGCCATTTGTCTTTTTCTTTTTTTTATCCATGCTGGAGAGTTTTTTACCCATGCACTCCACCCGTTTTTGAGATGTGAACTCCATGTGAATAAGGTAGATTTCTTTAAAACATTCAATCCTCATTTTTGTAGCATATACCCAAACCAAATTTGGGATAATTCATTACAGTACCTCAAAAGCGAATCACCACAAACTTGTGTTATGTATGTCATGGGACTGTGCTAAGTGCTAGGAATGCAAAAAGTCTATATATAATAGAACATCTTTAAGCTCTGTTTCTTTCTTTGCTCATCTTTACATATGACAATCAGGGGTCATTAGTATAATTTAAGAAATCTTGTCTGGGGCCATTTTTGTATTTGCCTATGATGACAGAACTGCAAAATAAGAACTAAGTCATTTAATAATTGGTGGCCATAAGGTGATAAAAACCCTTGATGACTCCCACCAAATGTTGGGGTGCTCTCCTTTTGTTCTAGGTTCAGTGACAGAAGAAGTTGGATGTTTGGTGAAAGAACAATAAAATTCTTTAAAGATCTTCTTATTTTAAGGAAGGAGGGGCAGTAGGGAGAATTTGATCTTTCTTAGAGAAGCTCAGGTGGGAGCAGGCCTTCATGTTTAGTTTCTAGCCCTGTGAAGCTTCTTTTCTGACAAAAACAAAACAAATGAGAGTGGGTCCACACAAAAAGGGCCCAGTTCTCTTGGCCTCTTGATAACTCGGGCATCTTTGAGACCAGCCAGAATTAGACTCACTGATAATCTGAATCAGGGTCCAACAGAGACAGGAAAAGCAGGAGGCAATGTGAAAGGTGCCCATTGGCTATTTGGGAATGGCTTTGAAGTTTTACATTAACAAAACTAACATTTAGTTCCTATTTTGCAGTCCTTCCAAAATTGAGTGGGTCAAATCATTTTGTAAGTAGCATGGTAGCTTGATGTGCTACCATGCTTGTGTGGGCCCAAGCGATGAGGCTTGGAATCTAACCAGACACTGTCCTTGTTTAGGGAATACCCTGGAGAAGAAAGGTGGCAAGGAATTTGTGGAAGCAGTGTTAGAGCTTCGGAAAAAAAATGGTCCATTGGACATCGCTGGAGGTAAGACTAAAGCAGCATTGCCAGTTTTTAGGTTTGGTTCTTGCTCCACCTGGGCACATTCCTGAGCTGTGCCATCTTTTAATCCTCACAAAACACTGTTATGGAAACCACCCTGCATGATTACTTTAGAGTCTCAAAATGAAAATTACAATATGACATCTATCCCTTCCGTGCAATGGAGCGAAGTAAAGAGCTATTATCTTTATAAAACAGAATTTTATTGTAGGCATAGAGTCCAAACTTAGAATCCATCGAACCACCTTTAAAAATATGATTACTCAAAACAGTTAATCAGTTTTTTTAGATCTAAGATTCTGGAGTTTCAAAACAAAGAAAAGAACACTGTACACATAAGCTCTGATAAATTACAAATGGCAATATTTAAACCATCTGTAAAGTTGCTGATAAATGTTGCAAATTAAAAATCCTCATTCAACCACCTCTATTTATAATTGCAAAAAATAAATAAAATCAGTTACGATTTGCCAGTTAAACTCCTCCAGAAAGAAGGAAAAAAGGGAAAAGCTTATTTTTGAACTGAAGGCAAAAATTTTCGTTAACTGCTTTAATTTTTTTTTCTGGTCCTTACAGAATCCCCTATCCAGGCCAGTTTAAAATCTGAAGTTGGAAGAAAATGTAATTGAGCATACAGATCAGTGCAAATTTTAATCCATATGGGTGATGGCAGAGTACAATGTCACCCAAGTTGCTGGATATGAATGTACACGAAATGATAGCTCTGGTACTAGCAAGCCAGGTGCAACTAGGCCATTCTTCTCTTTTGTCCAGGAATCCTGTGGTCTTAACTATTTCTGACAATGTCAGTTCCTTATGCCTTCTGTGGTTACGTAGGACCAAAGCTCATCAGGATGAGGTGGTGGTGGGGTTCCTTGAGATGGTCCAAATATCTGTAGCATGAAGCATTAGGCAGTATCTTGCCGATGGATTTGGTGATGATAGAACCAGTTCTACCCTTTTTTACTGCCAGAGGAAATGAGACACTATGTTGGGCCTCATGAAGTTCTCAAGTCCATCCAGTTGGGAAAGCCAGCCTACTACAAACTCATGTGCAAAGACACAAAGGTTCAAAGTAGACTACAGAATGTCAATTAGATAGGATGCCAGAGACTGTCAGATTTAACCCTTTATCTTACGCAGTGGAAAGCCAAGTCCCAAATAGGGAAAGTGACAGCGTAGAACCATGGCTAACAAAGGAGTAGAAGACATGGTCCCAGCCTGTGGAACTTGCAGATTAGTTGGGAAGAGAATGCCTGCACTTTATGAAACGATCTGAGAATGAACATGATAACTGGCTGTGTGCCAGAAGTTTATTTGTAGGTCAGTTGTCTGGATCTCAGGACACGTTTTCCATTAGAAATGTTGTTTGATGTGCCAGTTTTCTTCCTAAGCTACTCTACAAAAGCTCTTTGAACCCATAAGATAGGCCTATCTCAGGGGTGGGGAACCTGCAGCCTCAAGGCTACTTGTGGCCTTCTGGGTCCTCGGGTGCAGCCTTTTGACTGAGTCAAATTTTACAGAATAAATCCTTTTATTAAGGGGATTTGTTCTGTGAAGTTTGGATTCAGTCAAAGAGCTGCAGTTGAGGACCCAGAAGGCCACATGTAGCCTTGAGGCTGCAGGTTCCCCACCTTTGAGATAGGTGAACAGTGGCACTAATCATATCAGTAAGGTCAATCACCATTCTACACATTAGTTTTTAGTTTCAATTTCACAGACCCTCAAGAGATAAGACTTTCTGATTAAAGAGCTTTCCCTTTCCTACCAGTGCCTCAAACACCAAAATCCACACGTAAGAAAGAAAACCTTCCCCACTTCCTGATATCAGGCTGAGACAGGATTTCTGGGACAGAGCCTTTATCAGTGACTTTTGGGCAGCAGGGAATTCTGGGTGTTCATAAGTCAGGGATAGCCAGTATAATCAAGTGCTTGTTTATAGACACTTCACTGTAATAACATCATTAAGCATCTGTATATTTCCATTTGTTTATAGTCATTTATTTACTCATATTTAATCACCTACGTCTCATTCCTTGGTACATAGAAGGATCCTAAGTCTTTGGGAGAGGATTCTTCATGATTAGTTAAGATGAGAAAGGAAGGAAGAATCCTTAAAAGAGACATATCATTGAGCGTTCTGTTAAAATGAAATAATCCTACCTAAAGCAAACTGATTAATTCCTTAAAAACTAAATAGCATTATTTAATTGTGTGGACTCTCAAGACATTCCCTAATAAAGCCATTGAAGCAGGTTACTGGGGTATTTGTTAAACTCTATAAATAAACAAAGGTTTTTTAATGTGTCTGCATCGACATAACAGGGAAATTTATTGATCATACCTAATGATTCTTCAAATGAACCCATTGGCAGCGAAAGGAACCAGTGGATACAACCACTTTGAACACTGAAAGGGGTTATTAGTCTGGCATATTCAGTTCATTGTGGTTGGCCCTGAATAACTATTCTTTATAGCTGGGGGATTACCCTACAATAATGGAACCCATTCCTGGCGGTTGCTCAGTGAATACTGAATGCCAGGTTTCCAAGGCTATGCCTTGGCTGGTCAGTGCAGTTGTAAATGACTATAACTAAACATATGTTTTACCACCACGGGAACCTGGGTTACAATTGCAAGTACGTTAGAAGTGCTCTTGTTCACTCTTCACACTCCTGACTTCAAAGAACTAGCATAATTTTTAAATAGGTATACAGCACTTTACCATTTATAAAGCCCTTTCACATGCATTATCTCACTTGACTGGCTCAACAGTTCTGTGAGGGAGCCAGGGCAGGGTGATCATCCCTGTTTTACTGATGAGGAAATAGGGTGAGAGAAAGACAGAGACAGCGATCCAAGGTTACTTCTAGTAGGTACAGGAGGCAGGATTAGAACCCAGATCTTTTGATCCCTAGTTATAGCAATTATTCCATGACATGATATTTGCAGGTGGTTTGAATTTAAGGTTGAGGAGTTGTTTTGTTGTTGTTGTTTTTAACCCCATGCACACACGTAAATTGCTTTTTTATTTGCAAAGGAATGGGAGTAAAGGTCTGGGTTCTTCTTCCCATCAGCGGCTGTCAGTGCAGGCCATGGCTTGCCCGCCAAGTTTGTGATCCATTGTAACAGTCCAATATGGGGCTCTGACAAGTGCGAAGAACTTCTGGAAAAGACAGTGAAGAACTGTTTGGCCTTGGCAGACGACAAGAAGCTGAAATCAATTGCATTTCCATCAATTGGCAGTGGCCGGTAAGAGAGCCCACTAGTCCAAATATTTGTGCCAGAAGATAATTCTCAAGTAATATATTCATTTATCCAATTATTGAGGGACTAATGTGGATGCTCAGCTGGGTGATTAGAGGCAAAAATGAATAAGGCTAGGTCTTCATCTTCGTACGGTTCATAGTCTAGTTGAAGAGATAAGATGCAAAATGTTACATAATTCAATTTAATTTAATTTCATCCAATAAATAATTACTTAGTCCTTATATCTGGGCCCTATGCTGGGTACTAAGAATACAGATTTAAAATAAGATGTGGTCCTGCTCTTCCAGGAACTTCCAATCTAGTAGAAGTACAGGTCATGTACACATAGCTATAGTGCAAATCAGGTTTTGATAAACATGGAGGAGAGATTAAATAGAAGCCTGGAAGATTTAAGGATTTAAGGAAAGAATAATCACTTCTAACTGGGGAATGAGAGGAATGGATTGCGGAAGGCTTTATGGAGGAAGTGGTACCTGAGCTGGACCTTGAAAATGAGAAGGATGTAAGTAGATGGAGATGCCTAGGGAGATTTCTCTAGGCCTGAGAGACAGCATTCTCAAAGGCACAGAGATGGGAAAGGGAAGCATAAAACTGAGGAGCACTGAGTGGTCAAGTCTGGCCAAATGATAGATTATGCAGAGTGAAAGACAAAACTAGAAAGGTGGGTTGGAGACTGATTGTAAAGGGCTTTAAATGCCTAGCTGAGGAGTTTGATTGGAGAGGGTCAGATGGGAGACCCTCTCATTTTGTAAACATCTTCTAACTTTTTTGTCTTGATGTCCCCGTCGATGACCTAAGGGTCATCTTCTTGGAACATGGTCCAGTTGCACAAGGATCCTCCAACTAAAGACAGAATTGAAAGCTAACTCTACCTGCCATATGATATTATCTGAGTAGATGGTGGAAGCATCGTTTGTAGGATTTCGGAACCTTGTAGGTCACCTAATCCAGGTCTCTCCTTTTGTAGATGAGGAAACTGGGGCCCAGAGAAGTTCAGTGACCTGCCCAGGTCACCCAGTAAATGAGCATAGCTGGGATTCAGATTGAGGCCCTCTCACTTGAGAGCTTGTGTTTTTCCCAGTCTACTACATTGCCTATTTTACATTGGTAGTGTACTCTACTTTTTTCAGTGGGCTGTTTTGCTCTACACATATTGAAAACTTGCAGTATTATCTAACTGAGCATGATCTAAAAAGAACATGGATGTACATATCACTACATTTAGGAGCCCTTTCAATTGAGAAGAAAAGTGACTGTGCCTTATAAGATAGGACGCAGTCAGCAAGCTCCTGGTAGAATACACTTTATTTGCAATTAAGGAGAATTACTGCATTGTAACGTAGGCGCAGGCCCAGAGTAGATTTAGAATCACTTTCTACAAACCAGTCTTGTAGAAGTCTAAAGTAACTGTGCCTCTGAAGTCTGTTCTTTATCACTGAATTCACTGTGTTACCTTTGATAAATGAGTCGACTTCTCTGCCTCTTGGTTTATTTATCAGTAAGTGAGATTAATAGGGTTTACCTTCCTCATAGAAGTATTATGAGGCTCCATTAATTAGTGTTTATAATGCACTTTGATACATGCTGATAAAAGGTGTTTCAGACGTGAGAGGTAATATTATTCTTTATTGGTAGCAGTATTTTTTCCTTTAGCTATTGAGAAAGCTTTTAATTGAATTATGAAAATTAATTCCCATAAAAGTACATCTGTTATTTCAAGCATATTTACATTTTTCATGGAGTAAAACATTTTTAAAAAATAATAAATTGAAAAACTTTTAAGATCTACAAGTGCCGAAGGCACCACATGTGCACAGCTGTTCTGTTACAGACATCTGTCAAGCAGACATCACCTTATAAAGCCATGTAAACAGTTTCATTCCCTTTCATGACTCAAGAATGGGATTACACCAAAGCTGTTCAAATAAATCATGTTGGGTTTTAGTAGGGGAAATAAAAAAGCTTGTTTGTGGCATCCAGTGTCTCCAGCATAAAAGTCATGTTGGGATTTAAAAAAAATTAAGTCCAGCATGCTAAAGGAAAGGCCTGGCGATGGCATTCTCATGTAACGGTATTTCGATATCCTCAGCCTCCAGCAGCCATAACGATCACAATACTGCATGCATTGGTGTGTATTCCGTACTGGCCATTTGCCTCAGATGATTTCTTTTAAAATGTGCTTCAGTTAAATAAAACCCAACATTGTAACACGGGATGCAGGAAACTACCTTTGGCATCTAGACATCCTGTTTCCAGCCTGTTAGACCACAATATTTATTGAACCCCAACTCCATGCAAAGTCCTCCTTGGCTCTGGTTGACATTAAGAGGGTGCACACAATCTCCTAGGAGAAAAACACAGAGTCAGTTTTCTCTCTTCTAGTTAAGGGATTTTGCATGAACTTTTCTTGAATTTATGAGTTCTGAGAAAGCCAGTTTAGGTAGGGCTGTATTTCCCTTTCCATTTGGCAAGTGCAGGCCCTGCGGTCGTTTGCATGGTAGGGTCTCCAAACCTTTTGAGCCAGCAGAGACTAGGTGGCAGGAGGAAACACTTTGGAATTCTTTCACCCTATAAACTCAGGGTTATAGCTAGTAGGTCCCTCCCTTGTGCCTTTGGCATTTGGTCCTAGAAGAAAAGCAAATTAGAGAAAAAGCAGAAAGAGATCACAGATGCTGCATCATGGCATAAAATGGGAGATGATGAATTAGCATTAAGTATTGTGTTGGGAACCCATGTTTTGAGACTCCACCTACCATCACTGACTATCTAGGAACTCATGGGGCATAAGGGCATTTAACATAGCAGCTTGCTGAAGTTTCCACTTTTCACTGCTTGAAAAACTGTGCTTTCAGAACAGGCTCTTTGTTTTATTGCTAAATAAGGCACCTTCTCATGAAAGCTGTGAATTTCTTAAAAGTAGCTTCAAATTCACCCAAATATCAGAGCAAGGCCAGGACACTGTTGAAAACATTTCAGAGGTATAGGAATGGTGGTAGGACCATGGTCCATTTGGAAGAGCAGCAGATGCAGCACAGCTACTCATTTCCTTTCTTAGACATCATGGTCTTATCCATCCCCTAAATAGTTAAGATTATAGAAAATGTTTCTGATTGCCTCCACCCAGCTATACTTGAGGACACAACGGGGAGGCAGCAACACTTCATGGTATACATTTCCAGGGAAATGGCCTCCACATTTCTGTGCCAATGAATGTATCCTCAAGATAAAATCAACTTAATGTGTAGCCTGCATACATAACCCCAAATCTCAATAGGTCAGACAGAACTGAAAGTAAGCACCAAATCAGGCAGGTTGACACTAAATGACATATTTTTGATAGAGCCAAGACTAGAACAGTAAAGTCAGAGGAATTTTTTTTTGTTACTGTTTGGTGTGGAATTATGATTTCATCAAGGTAAGGAATTCTTGGTGTAGAAACTCCACTGATTGGCAACTTTGCAGTGGATCAGAGTCAGAAAAACCTGAGTTCAAATCTTGCTTCGACAACTAGCTATGCAAGCCTGAGCAAGTCACTTAAACCTCTGTTTTCTTATCTGTAAAATGGGGATAATAATAACAATAATAATAAATAGTACCCACCTCATAGGGTTTTGAGGATCAAATGAGATAACATGTAAAGCACTTTGCAAACCTTAAAGATAGCCATTATATAATAATAATTGTTACTCTTGTAACCTGTAGTCTTGGAAAGTTGTCTGTACGCTGAAAGGTTGTAACTTGCCCATGTTCACACTCCTTGTATGTGTCAGAGGCCAAACTTGAACCCATGATTTCCTGACTCCCAAGCTAGTGTCCACTAGGCTGTCCTACCTCTCCAGAGAAGTAAGCTTGGCAAATGTCTTTACTTAAAGGGATAAAGCCATTTAAGACCCACTTATAAAGTGCAGAAATAGGTAAAGGGGTTTGTGGACTAAGGATAATACATAAGTATCATTGCTCCATAATTGAAGGACTGATTACTTAGGGATTTGGAAATCATCTAATCTAAACTGATTCCTTTAGAGAGAAGAAAACTGAGGCCTGGAGAGAAATGATATGTCCAGAGTGTCACAGCTGGGATTAGAACCCTGTTCTATGGTCCTGAGTGTCAGGCTTTTTCTAGGACACCAAGCTGCCTCTCATACTCAGTTGGTGGGTTGTTGGGCTTTGCACTTTCCTCCTAATGCCCTGTTGGTTTCATTATTCATAAGCAGTGAGTACTCTTGGAAAAAGGAGACTACTGTGTATGATTCACAAAGTAGGAGCCAAAAATGCTGAGCTAGAAGCAGAGACTTTTTATTCACTTGGCCAAAATAATAATGATTAAAAAAAATAAGATTTTTTCATTATCATATTTTCACTAAATTTCCATTTAACAAACTCAACAACTGAACGTGTGCCACATAGAGTACATTAGTTCTGTAAGTAGCTATTGTAATGGGAGACAAAGAATAGATGGTTTCTGAGGTTCCAGGATCCTAGGAATTAAACTGGATTTCTATCCTTATGAGACTTACAGTCTAATTAGAGAGACATGATGTACAGATATAAAAAGATAATCACCAGCACCAGACTGTGTGTGCTAATTACTTAATAAAAGAAGTAGTAAATAGGAATTTAGGGAGGGAAGAAATCATTGTCAGAAAAAGGCTTCCTGTGTGACTTTGAGAAGCTCTTTTACTCATTTGGGCTCCAGCTTCCTTATCTGTAAAGTGAGAGGATTTGGCTAGGTGATCTCTTTGGGCCCTTCCAGCTCTACAGTCTATCATGAAGGCGATCATTTTGGAAACTGGACTTGCAGAATTCCACACCAAGTGGAGTGCAGAGCTGAGAGGACGACAAAGAGACCAGACCATCCAGACCAGAGAGTGTCTAAGTCTGGAACTGTAGATTGGAGCCATTTTTTTAATATATGGTATAAAATGAAGATGTGCCAGTGCAGTCCCAGATCTTGACTGTAAGGAAGAATAAGAAAAAGATAG